CCGATCTCCCCAAAACCCCAAAACCCCAAAACCCCTCAATTGCAATTAAATTCAATTTTTCAGTTAAATTTAAGAAATATAAAATAAATTGAATAATATGATGAATGAAGGTTAGAATTATTAGGGAGAAAATGGTGTTTAATTAGACTAGTTTTCTCCTTAAAGTCACAATTTACAAGCTCAAAGATAAAATGAATAAACTCCTGAGGAAGTGTATAAGCAGAAAATCAAATTAAAGTTTGATTAATAGGCTAGTGTCCATTAAAAGACAAGATCATTGGTATCTCCATCCTTGAATTCTGCAACTAATCATAGTAATTATGGATATAATAATGATGGACTAAGCATCAATCCAACGTAAGTTCATACTTAGCATTAAACACCAGCAAATCAGACTTAATCATTAAGGAGAAAGTCTCCTAAAAAGGATTTTGAAAGCATTTAGGATTAGTATAGATAAAAGATTTAACAATCAACTTACACTTATGATATTCAAAGATTAGCTTCAATTGAACTTGATCGATCAATGAAACATATTGATTCAATTAGGACTGAGAATTCTTAAAGGCAGGCTACTTCATTCTAAAACTAAGAGCATCAATCAAAGTAGATAAGCGATTAAAGTCAACTCGAGTCTATTTATGAGAGAATTTCAAAACTTAGGTAAAATCTAATGGGTAATTCCAGGCAAGATGAATAATCAAGGAGATCGAGCGGCTTCAGAAAAACTGAAGAAAGAGAATCAATACCAGAATAATTTAATCAAAATAGTAATCTACAAATCTCTTCTTATCAGAGACCAGGTGAGCTGGTATAATCAACAGCTCATTTTGATTAGGAATCAGGTATTAAGCAAAGGGATCACAGTAATTTCCAGACATTCCAAGATAAGAACTTTATTTCAAGCAACTTGGGAAGTCCGTAAATGGAATTGAATCCTCAAATGTCGATTCAAAGTAGATTCCATTTGGACCTAACCTCTACATAATAAAAAGAAAACATTAATCCTTAAACTTAAAACTAAAGTCCTCTCAGATATAAACCCTAAACGGTTCAGTAATATCAATAACTATCTCAGCCACAGAGTTTGCTTGATATTTAGAACTATCACTCCTCGCAATAATTATCAATCCAAAATATCAAAATGCTTTAACCTAATCTATAAGAGTTGATAAAAGAAACTGAACGAAAGGTGCAAGATGGGACTGAAAGGAAATATCAAGATAAGATCTAGGATCTCGAGAAGAGATCTGCATACCTGGATCGAAGTTTGGATTTAATAGATGAGATGAAGTAGAAATTTTAATTGTTTGAGAACTAGCAAGCTCAGTACAGTGATCTAGCTCGGAAGTACTAAGAACTGCAGAATCAACTCAATTAGTAACGGTTAGGGGCGAGTTCTCAGCAAAATATTACCTTTCAACGGGATTAAGAAGATTTACAAGAATCTCAATGCTTTAATGTTCCTCGACTAAACTAATAGTCTACTTAAGACCCTTATATCTCACAGCAAGAGTATAGTTTGGTCTCACCAATATCATTGGCTCAGTAGAATAAGCAAATCATCAATGGCTCATAGTAAAATACCTAGATAGTCAAAGACCTATAATTATTAAAACTTGCAGATAATGCAATGAAACTAAATCATGTTGATAGTACACTAGAACCATTTACCATTGACATCGATATAGATCATAGAAAACAGTAAGAAGATAGAAAAATGTTCAATAATCTAAGTGAGTATCAAAGACTTTCACTTAATAGCCAATCAAACTATAATAACGGATTCAGGTCTTCTAAAAATAGAAAAAGCATGAACATTTAACATAGAGCTAATAATCTTTCCTCATTTATTAACCCTACTAAGATGGATAAAAGTCGATCGCCTAGCATTTCATGTTCTCTTAGAAATCGCAAAGATCGTTTAAGCCTGGGTGGAGGAGGCATACAAAATAACAATAAAGAAAATAAAGCATAAAAGCTGAACAAATCTTATGGAATAATGAGTTAAAAATCAAGACATTTACCTTAGAAAAGCTTTGATTTCCCCAAGAGTAATAACATGACCCTTCTAAAGCATAATTAGAACTTATAAAAACAGCCTGATACAATGAACCAGGATATATAGATATTTTAAGAGTAAACCTTTGCTTAATTGCATAAGGAAATTGATAAATTAAAAAAGCAAAAGAAAATGCTGAGGTCTCAGTTGAAATAGGTTAATCAAAAATATGAGGAATAGTCTAATTAGCAACTTAAATGCTGCTGTTAGGAACTTTAGAACTATTATGAGAATAAATCATCACAGCAGTCATTCATTTCTGAGCATTGGAGGACTAAGACCTAAGAATTAGCAACTAAGTACTACAAAAGCTTATAGATTCTTAGATCAGATTAGGAAAAATTAAAAGCGAATTCTGAGCAAGAGATCTAACTGTTAAAATCTTTCTAAGATTAGGCAATGGGTGAAGTATGCAAAAGATAGTCAGAGATATAGATTTACTATGAAAAGAAATTGAGAACTTACGAAAAAGAGAATAAGAAGCTGAACAAAAGATTGGTTCAGGCTAGAAATCAAATGGGAAAGCAGTGAGAAAATGTAAAGACTAGCTTAGCAAAGCAATATAAATAGATAGATGACAATCGATGCTTAATTTAAAGTATTTAATTAAAGATTTTATTTGATAAACTTAAATAATAAATCAATATGAAATACATAATTTAAAATGAATAATAAACTTATTATAAGTTAAATCATCTCTTTGGAGAAAAAACTTTCTGGTTTTACTAGTACTTAAATAAAGAGCAGATTATATAATGAATCAGAGATTTAAAATAGAACCCATTAACGTTAAAGAAAAGTATGAAATCGAGGATGAGCACGACATCTTCTTATCTGACAGTAATCATCAATCTTTTAACTCATTCTTAATCTAATTGTTAATAGTTGAAGATCTTCCTTAAGAATTTGAGACATCAAATATCAAAATGGTAATGACAAATAATCTGATAATGAATGGCTTTTATGATGCAAGATCACCAATTATGACTGATAAATCTTTATCCTCCCCAGGTTTACCTGACAAAGAGGAGCATGAAATGAGACATGGTGAGATTAATAATGACGAAGATGAAGGTACTGGAACCAACTAGAATAAAAACAATCTAAGCATAGACTATTTTCCTGAGGCAGGGATGAATCAATTTGATTCTAAAAACTCCATCAGAAGAATGCGCACAGATGCCGAGTCTAAAGAGTTTACCCCTACCCTTGATGATGAACATCATCTTAGTAAGCAAATTTAGCAAAAATATTGATTATAGGAGTTGTAGATAAATAGAGTATAGTAACCTTCAGTCAGCAGAGTGAGAGAAGTTTGCGGAAAAAGCAACGATCTAACCTCGGATCAGCCAACTAACACTCTAAATAAAGCCTGATGCCCACTAGGGAGACTCCTCCTTTAGCTCCTAAGAAAAAAGCTAAGAAAAAAGTTACTTTCAGAGACAAAGTCTTCAAAGGCAGTTAAATCGCTGATACTTATATCGTAGAGAAAATTAAATACCCCTCAAGACATGAAGTAGAAGAGGAATCTGGAAGTGTATCATGCGTTTGTAACATATTCTGAATAATACTGGATATACACTGTTATTATATATTGTCAACTAATTCAGATAGAATTTTAAGCTTAACTGTAATGTTAATAAGAGATAAAATTCATTAGTCTCCCTTAATAAAATTAAATTCAATATTAGATCTTTCCATGATATTTTTTGTTTACTACAAATTCCATCTAACGGGGTTTTGGGGTTTTGGGGTTTTGGGGTTTTGGGG